CGGCAATGCCACGAGGGCACAAACTCGGGCCGATCGGCAGACCTGGGCAGAGGGCCCGGCAAGGCAGGCAGGAGTCGCAGACCGAGATAGCAACACCAAGGCTCTGTTCGGCATTACCCGCCAGATTCGGACGCCCTGGGGCTCTCAGAAGCACGCGAAGGTCAACGACGAGCAGGGTCGCTCGCCGTACGATCCCGATCAGATCCCCTCGAGGTGGAAGCGTCAATGGGCGCCCCTGTTCGCCGACCAGGTCCTCCCAATGAGCGAGGTCCCCGCCCATGCGCAGCAACGCCCGAGTCCAGCACTTCACCAGCCTTCCGAGCCAATTGATCGCAGTTCCGTCTGGCGGCAATTAACATGGGCTCATCCTAAAAAGGGCCTCGGACCAGGTGAGGTGTGGCGCGCTGGGAAAAATGGATTGACGTGGTCATGCCCCTGTTCAACTTGGCCACCTCAGCTGCGACGTCTCTGGTGGCCATGAAGGGCGGCAAGCTCTTCGACATCTGGAGGCAGAAGGGCGACCCCGCGAACTGCGACTCCAGCCGCGGGGCCCGCGTTTCAGATCACCGCTCGAAGCGGTACTGCGTCGCAATCGCCGAGCCCGTCTTTCAACATGCACACGATTTTCGCGGCCCTGCACAATGCGGCTCTGTACCAGGGAGAAGACGCCACTCTCCTCACTACTGCGCTGCAAACGTTTGTCCAGACGACGCGCACGTCATGGGCATTACTTTTTCTCGACCTTGCCAAGGCCTTCGATTCCATCATCCGCGAGTACTTGCACGGTGTGGGCCAACTACAACTGACCACCCACGCTCGCCGAAGATCTTCAGCGTGCTGGCACTCCTCCTGAGGTTGCCCATGAAGCACAAACCTACCTTCAGCAGCACCCGCCTCTCCTCCAACAAGCAGGCCTACATGTCGACGATGTGCGCCGAGTGGCCGATTGGCACACCGACACGTGGTTTGCAGTCCGAAGCGACGGAGACGATGTTGTACTCGCTCGGCGCGGAGCCCGCCAAGGATGCAGGCTGGGCGCCCTATGCTTCAACCTCGGCTACGAGCTGGGCCTTGGGCGCGCGAAACGCCGCCTCATCGAAGAGGACATCACCCCGCGGCTGCTCCCGCCGTCCGTGTTCGCTGCACCTTGGGCCACAGTCCTCGATGATAAGCCTAACCTGCACGAGACTACCAACACGCCCAATGACGCCGAGTACGTGGACGACGCGGTCTTCATGTTCCAGCAGCAGCAAGAGGATCGCACCGAGCAGGTCCTCCAGCAATTGGATAGAGCTACCGATATTATTGTCGAAAAGTTCCGACGGATTGGCCTCACCATCAATTTCGGCCCTGGCAAATCGGCAGCCATGGTGAAGCTCCTCGGTCCACGCTCTCGCAAGCTCCGCCGAGAGCGCTTACTGCGTCAAGGCAAGGAAGAGTTCTTTACACAGCACGGCAATGTCCTTCGAAAAAATCATTATTTCCAGCACCTCGGCACCATACTACAAAACGCTAACGAGCACCAAGCCGATGAACGCCGCAAGGCCACCAAGGCCCAGCAGTCCTTCTCGCCGCTGGCAGTACCGATCTTCGGCCCCTCGCACATCCAGCTGAACACGAGGCTCATGCTCGCGCAGTCCTTGATCCTCTCGCGTGCCCTCGACGCTGTTGCTGCCTGGAGGGGACAGCTGGAAAAAGCTGGCAGCCGCTCGAGGCCCAGTACCACCGCGTCCTGCACAGGATCAACGGCACCATGAGGTACGGCGCCCCCGACACCATCACCGACGCTGCTGTCCGTGAGGCCCTGTCTGCCCCTTCGTTGCACTCGTTGGTCCGAGCTCGTGGGCTCGCCGGCCTCTGTTCGCAAATGTCTGCTCCTCCGCCAGTACTCAATTGTGTTTCTGCGATTCCGAAGCCCCCGTCCGCGTTTGAGCTGAGAAATCTCCAGCGGTTTCACTTTGACTGTTTAGCGGTCTTGGGGGATCCCTACACCTTTCCAGGAGAATGAGGGGAATACATCACCGCCCAACCGAAAAGGTGGAGGCGCTTGTGTCATGAGTTCAGCGCGTGCCCCCACCCTACTGAGCGCCCTCCCTCCTCCGCGAGGCGACTGCAAGGCAAGCAGGCGGCAGATGCCAGTCTCTTCGTGCCCAAGGACCCGCTTCCTTCTGCCCCACGTGCGGTAAGCAGTGTAAAGGGGCGAAGGACGCTTGGCAGCTCACCAACGCCACGCCCACGGCGTCAAGATGCAGGCTCGGTATTATATCACAGGAACACATCACCCGAGCTGCCACAAGAATTTCCATACCCGGCCTCGAGCCTGGCAACACTTGCAGTTTTCGAGCAAACAGTGCCGAGAGAAAATGAAGGCTGGTTTTTTACTCCGCCACTTTGAACAGGATTTGTGCTAGCAACCGACCGGGCGGATGCTTCAGCACTTCGCGACACGGGAGCCAGGGGCGAAACTTGCACCCGAGAATGACTTCCTCTGCTGGCGCCCGACGTGGACCCAGCGGTATACTTTCCGCTTTAACGTAGTCTGCGCTGCACCTTGGCCGCGCTGGCTGCTTCCTCAAGCCGCGATCCTAGCAGAGCTCCAGGTCCGCATACAGCCCAGCCAATCAACAATCATCATCCTCCTCCTCCTCCTCATCCTCCTCCTCCTCCTCCTCCTCCTCCTCCTCCTCCTCCTCTCCTCCTCCTCCTCCTCCTCCTCCTCCTCCTCCTCCTCCTCCTCCTCCTCCGCCTCCTCCTCCTGCTCCTGCTCCTCCTCCTCCTCCTCCTCCTCCTGCTCCTCCTCCTCATCCTCCTCTTCCTCCCCGGCACCATCATCTCATCATCATCATCATCATCATCATCATCATCATCATCATCATCATCATCATCATCATCATCATCATCATCATCATCATCATCATCATCATCATCATCATCATCATCATCATCATTATCATGATGAGCAGCAGCAGCATCATCATCAGCATCATCATCATCATCAGCAGCAGCAGCAGCAACATCATCAGCATCATCATCCTCATCATCTGCAGCAGCATCATCGTCGCGGGCAGCAGCATCATCATCATCATCATCATTATCATCATCATCATCATCATCATCATCATCATCCTCACCGTCATCGTCATCATCATCAGAAGCATCATCAGCAGCATCATCAGCAGCAGCATCACCAACATCAGCGTCATCATCATCAGCGTCAGCATCATCAGCATCATCATTCTCGTCATCATCTCCATTATCATCATCATCAGCATCATCATCCTTATCATCATCAGCATCGTGATCATCGTCACCATCATCATCAGCAAGCTAATCATCATCAACAACAGTCAACACCATCAGAATCAGCATCATCACCATCACCATCATCACCACCGTCAGTCTCATCATCAGCAGCAGCATCATCATCAGCATCAGCATCGTCATCATCAGCACCATCAACATCAATAGCATCATCATCAGCATCAGCATCATCATCACCGCAGTCATCCTCATCAGCAGCAGCATCGTCAACATCATCAGCACCATCATCAGCATCAGTATCATCATCACCACCATCACCATCAGCATCATCATAATCATCATCGTCATCATCATCATTATCATCATCATCGTCATCATCATTAGCAGCAGCAGCATCATCATCATCATCACCATCATCGTCCCCCGTCTTCGGCTGAAGCTGAAGGGGAGAAGGAGCAGTGTCCCCTGGATCGTGCCAATGCCGCGTATTTTCTGCTCGGCCTGGCTTCCAGGCGTTCCTGGCCCAGGACGACAGCGAGAATCCAGGAGCATGGCAGCCCGAGATGAGCAGGAGCTGGGCCCCCGCAACTGCTACGGACGATGTGCACAGGAGGCGAGGGAAGACAGGACAAGGCAAGGCGACACTCGCCGTGGCCGCCCGGCTCGATGCTGAGGAGTCCCGCCTCAAAGACCAAAGGCGAGGTGAAAAGGCGAAGCAACACAAGGCCTCAGCGCGGGGCAGGCAGGGCGAGGCTGAGCAAGATGATGTCTTTTGATGGGCAACCAAAAAAATCGATACAAGCTCTGGCCGGTGCTACTACAGACTGGAACGGCCCCCGATAAAGAAACAACATCGTGGAACATGCCTAGGGTGCCCAAAAAGACCCATGATCTGCCACATTCCAAGCGGCTAAGCCCTGAACTCACACTATTTACTATGAGTCGCCCTCGAAGCCACCATCTCAACATACGAATGAGTCTGAGGATGCCTCAGAGAACGCCCGAAGGCAACTGAGATCCTGGTCAAGCGGTATCGGTCAGAGTCCACTCCCACATCCCGTCCGTTGAGCAAAGCTGCAACTTTCAGATGTTTGCGTGAGGACGGCATCAAAAGACTATACAAATGTCGTCGGGGTTGTGGCCTTAACCGACACATCTGCACAGTTCGTCCAAATCTGAGAGCTCTCCTCGCAGTCCCACCGCCACTGCACAACGTACTCACCAGGAGCCAAGTCAGCTGGAACGCGGACGAGGTCGACTATTTCCATGTTGTCGGGGCCATACCAGCCAGAGCACAAACCTGGCACTGGGTCGGCGTCAGGTGGTGCGTGGGGATCGTGGCAGGGGGCTGGGAATGCATCCTTCGCGTCCGGGTACTTGGCGGAGTCGGCACGCGGGATTGGAATCATGGTCCAAGTGGAACCCTCGGGCACTGTGCCTTCCGAGACGCGGGTTGCGTTGATCAGCCGACGCCTACCGCCCTTGCCGCCCCACTGCAGAATGGACATGCCCTCTGGCTCCAGGACCGTCCTCCTGAAGACCTCCTCTGTGAGCTCGCCACTGGCGGGCGCGATTCGGTACTGGTAGCCACCACCGTGGTTGGTGCGGATGGTCCAGGAGACCTCCGCCAGCGCCCCTGCGGTCCACACGGTCCCGGACGGCGCGGCCGGCAGGACCTCGCTCCCCAGGTCGCCTTGCTTTGCGTGACTCGTGTTCTTGTAGCGAACACCGGCGCTGGCGCTCCCTCCGGGGGCCCAGCCGGGGGCCCCGATGGCCCATGCAGAGCCACCCGCCATGCCGCATGCGTCGAAGACCGGTGCGCTCCCAGGTGCACGCCACGGTGAATAGTAATAGACATCTTCCTTGCTCCCACACTCCGCCTCGCGGTTGATCGTTCGATGGACGGGGTCGCAGATCGTGGCCTTCGCGGTCGCCTCGTTGCCACAAGTGGAGCCAAATCGCGCGGTTCTGCCATCGCACTTGTCACACTGGATAGTGCACCCGTGCGAGAACCAGAAACAGGACTGCCCATTACGCAACGACAGTCCCTCAAGGCCCTCACCGCTTGCGACTGGGCAGATGTACGAATCGACATGATGGTTCCACTCCTTTGGCATTGGGCCAGTCCATGGAGACAAGTCCTTATCCACAGCGTTCCTAGGCGGCGGCTGGACCATATCTGCATGACCTTCTGCCGTAAACACGACACACGCGAAACCGAGCAGGCTCCATAGACGAGGAACCATGGCGTGTTCTACAATCCTCCACTCCTTGACCAGAATGGCTACAGATGAAGCCCAGAACGCACATTCAGGCATTCAGGGAGTGTGTGGGGGGGAGGGAGCGAAGGACGAGGAGAAAAAGGAGGGAGGAGGAGGTGGCGCGCGCGTAGAGGACGCAGAGCCCCTCCAATGGCCCAGGGGGGCCCAACAGCGCTCAGCAGGGCCCCAGACGCCCGAGGACAAGGCAAGACGGGCCGCAACGGCTGTTCTCCGAGAGGCCAAGTGGATTGAAAAGTAACCATCGGCTGCCCGCAAGAGTGACCCTAGGCAAGAAGGACCTTTGGTGCGCAATTTCAGAGGGGAAACGGGAAAGCCGAACCCAGGCGCGCAAGCTGCTGCTGTCGCAGCGCGTTCGCCTGCCGGGGGGCCCAGGATGGGCAGGCACCAGCGGTCACCCCGGAGATGGGCCACCCTTGCGTTTCATCGAGATGAGCTGTGTAATGCTTACATATATCGTGCCGGCCTCATTGGACACAGATGGCCCCAGATGCGCCTCAAACGCCCACCAGGACGGCCCAGGGCAGCCCCGAAGCCACCCGTAACCCAGAATTAGATGCATCCTTTCCTGAAGACGGCCTGGGACGGCCCCGAGAAGGTCCGCCAATGGATCGCTTCTGGCCGATTTGCTGCACAATCCCCCTGGGATCCTGCCGAAGCCTCTGGGGCCCCTCCCAGAACTCGTCCAGGACGCAACCAGGACCCCATCCCAGACATCCTCTGGCGTGATTTTTCACAACGTGGCTCCCCAGAGGCCTGGAGCCCCTCCCTGGGACCAGCTGTTCATCCTGAGCCGTTTCTTTGCAGTCCCGGTGCCCGGCGAAGACCCCTCGGAGGCCGAAAAACAATTCCTCGGGGCGAGAAGCTGGTCCCAGGGAAGGAATGCAGCCCTCTGCGGAGCCACATGGTGCGAAAGCACGGCGGAGGATGTCTGGGAGCACGGGCGAACAGAGACTATGCAAAGGGCCTTCCTCGCAAGGGCAGGGGCCCAGCGCTGATAGCTGTTGATGTTGTCCTCCAGCTCGCAGAGCATTGTCCGCTCGAGCTGCCCATGCACATCCTCCCTGCTTGCACTCGACAGTTTCAGCAGTGCAGCTGATGTCGCCTGCATCTCCTTTCAAGGGGGAGGCCCCGCATGTTGTCATTGCATGCTGTCGCGCAAACACTCCTGAAAACGCAGGGGGGCCCTCCTCTTTCCAGCCCATTTACTATTGTCGATCAACTCCTCCATCCTGCTTCTCCTCCTCCGCCTCCTCATCCTCCTCTTCCTCCTCCGACTCCTCACCTAACCTACCCGAACCGAACATAACCGAACCGAACCGAACCGAACCTAACCTACCTAACCTAGACGACTCCTCCTCCTCCTCCTCCTCCGCCTCCTCATCCTGGTCCTCTTCCTCCTCCTCCTCCTCCTCCTCCTCCTCCTCCTCCTCCTCCTCCTCCTCCTCCTCCTCTTCCTCCTTCTCATCTTGCTCCCCTCCTCCTAAAGGAGGAGGGTTTCAGATGGTCTCGAGGGTCTGGAGAGTTCAACTAACCCTTTCCTGATGCGTGTGACCATTCTAGCACGGAACGCATGTGAGTCGAGGTGCACGGCGTGAGCCCATCCTCAGGCGATGTTGCGTCGAGGCACAGTGTCCCTGAGCGCAGAAGCCGCTCGCCTGTGTGATGGAACAGCGCGAGGTGAGTTTCCCAGGACGTGGAGTTAGTTACTTCTGCAGCAAGGACAAGCGGGGTAAGATCACGGCGACGGCGGAGTAAGTTTCTGTCGTACGCAAAGAAGTGCGGAATAAGCTTGTTCATACGGAAATGAGCATAGCATGTATAAACAAAACCTGGGTGTGTGTGGGGGTGTGTGGGGGGGGGGGGGGGGGGCGAAACCTAATCCGCCGCCGCCGATCTCCACAGTGTAGGATGAGGCGGTAGAAAAGGGTCTACTGAGATGGTCAAGACTTTAGGAACGCCCTTGTATGGCTGCAGAGGGTCCTCCTCGTCCTCCCCCTCCCTCCCTCCTCCTCCTCCTCCTCCTCCTCCTCCTCCTCCTCCTCCTCCTCCTCTTCCTCCTCCTTCTCCTCCTCGTCCTCCTCGTCCTCCTCCTCCTCCTCCTCCTCCTGTTCCTCCTCCTCCTCCTCCTCCTCATCCTCCTCCTTCTCCTCCTCCTCCTCCTCCTCCGCGCCGCGCACATTCGTCTTAAGAATGAACAGGAGCTTCACAAATGGAAGGCGGCCCACGTTCAAAATGTGGATCTCGCCTTAGCGCCACGCACATTCGCCATAAAGGTTCGCAAGAGCTTTACGGATGGAGGACGGCTCCTTTTCAAAATGTGGCTCTCGCCTTAGCTCCGCGTACACTCGTTTTAAAAATGCAAGAGCTTCACGGATGGAGGGCGATTCCTTTTCAAAATGTGACTCTTGCCTTAGCGACGCGCACATTCGTGTTCAGAGCTTGCAACAGGTTCAGGCGTATCATGTCTAACGTCCCAGAAATGGTGTCTTAGCACGATGTCGGAACGTCAGGGCGCAACAGTCACACTGATCCGCGGTGCTGAAGTCCCAGAAACTGCGTTCTGGTACGATTCTGGATCGTCAAGACGCAACAATAACAGTGATTCGCGGCGTTGATGCCCCAGGATTGGCGTTCTGGCACAAATCCGGACTTTCAAGCGGTTGTCTTCCAACGGGGCACTTCCCTCAGTGAAAATGAATCCATGTATGGGGCCATGAGGGAACTTGGAGGGAGGGTGTACTGCAACATCGTTGATGAGTATTGGATGTACACTGGTCCTCCTCCTCCTCCACCTCCTCGTCCTCCTCCTACTCCTCATCCTCCTCCCCCTCCTCCCCACACCCCCTTCCTGCAGCGGCCCGGCCTTTCGAAGCACACGCCGCCCGCGAGGCGCGCGGGAGGCAGGAAAAAGAAGGGGGTGGGCCGGCGGCGCGGCGCCCGCCGCGCTGGCGGGCTAGAGCGGGTCTGGGCCAGAGGCTCGCGCGGGTCTCCGTCAGAGGCGCGCGTCGTCGTCCTCGTCGTCCTCGTCGTCCTCGTCGTCCTCGTCGTCGTCGTCGTCGTCGTCGTCGTCGGCGGCGGTGGCGGCGGCGGCGGCGTCATCGAGATTCTAGGATGGAACATTTGGGGACTTTGTGGGGCTCGTGCGAGGTGGTGATATGTCCGGGGAGGAGGCGGAACGTGGTCAGCTCAGACCTCAGACGTCGTGCATTTTATCCAGCACGTGGGCCCACCCAAACCTCTCGCCTCCTCCTATCGGGCCGAGTCTTCCGCCGCGCGATCTTTCTGCTGATAGCCCCCAGGGCCCGCAGCGGAGACTCAGAAGGCCGAGATGGAGGAAATGTCGACCGCCTGTAGCTTTCGGTGGCAGAGGATCTGAGGGTGCAGGGGGGAAAGGGAGGTGGTCAGAAGGAGGAGGAGGAGGAGGAGGAGGAGGAGAAGGAGCTCACGAGCACCAGATACCAACCAACCAACCAACCAACCAACCAACAAATCTTCCAACCAACCAACCAACCAACCAACCAACCGACCAACCAAACAAACAAACAAACAAACGCGCAAACAAACAAACAAACAAGCACGCAAACAAGTAAACGAACAACACATGATACCTCTGGTCCTCCAAGGCATTCCCAGTGGTCCCCAAAGGCCCTAAACGGGGCAGAAGCATCCCAGAACCTCAATCATACGTCATCCATCCTCGGACCTCGATCTTCCTTCCCCCCTCCCTCCTCCCTCCCTCGGTGCACACGGAATCACGCAGCCTCTAAACCTAAAAGGGCGACACCAATACGCCGACAATGGGTTTGGCAAGTCTCATCCTGGGCCAAGCCTCGGCGGCGTTCGCGCTTTCATGGCCCAGCCAGGACGGCGTCTACACCAATCTGTTGAGGCCGAGGATGGGCCTGCCCAACATCGGTATCGGTGCACAGCTGTCTTCGTCCGACATCCAGCCTCCATCGACACTCTCCTCAGAGGTGCGCGAGGGGTGTACTTCCACCTGGGGGGTAGCGGCCCTAGTCGCGGCCCCGCGACAGTCCTGCACCCGGGTCTTGATCTCGCTGAGCACATTCAAGAGGTCGCCCTTGATCGATTGCCGCGCCATCGCAGCAGCTCCAGAGGGCCTGCGTACGCGTCTTGGGAGGCTCAGGCGAAAAACAACACGATCTCTGGCAGAGGAATCCCACCAGCCCTCTGGGCGTCGGTGGTTTAGAGCGTTTCCTCTTCCACCCCTCCTTCTTCCCCTTCGGGGAGGGGTTTACCCCTCCCCCTGCCCCCTCCCCACTGACCTGGACAGGGGGGGCGGGGAGCGGTCAGAGCGTCCAAAACGGCCTCGCCGAGGAAGCCAAAATCATTGCTTTTACTATGGTTTTGGCCCCATTTTGGCCCCCAGAGGGGGCAGCACTAATTGAAGCTCCCCTCTTCTTTGATCGATTTCCTCCAAGATGGCCCCAAGAAGCGCCCAGGAGGCACCAAGAGGCCCCAAGATGGCCCCAAGATGGCCCCAAGAGGCCCCCAGGAGGCCCCCAAGAGGATCCCAAACGGCCCAAAGAGGCCCCCCCGAGGCACCCAAGACGCCGAAAAGCCCCTCAGGACGACCCTCTACTCGCCTGGGCGTCGTTTCTGGACGGGCTGGTGGGGATACGCGAAGCGTCTAGAATTGCTCCATTTGTTGTTCCCAACCATCATGTGGTGCGGGGTCCTCGTTTTGAATCACCAGCGCCCCGCGTCCTTCCTCAACTCCTCCCCCTCCTGCTGCTGCTGCTGCTGCTGCTGCTGCTGCTGCTGCTGCTGCTGCTGCTGCTCCTGCTGCTGCTGCTGCTGCTGCTGCTGCTGCTGCTACTGCTGCTGCTGCTGTCCGCAGCCCCATTTTCGGCACGCCCCAGACAAGTTTCGTGACCCCAGAAAGAGCTCCACCGAAGACCCCGGTGGGAGTGTCCGCATGCCATCACCGCACGCATTTCGACACACCCATCACACGTTTCGTCATAGGGAGCTCCACCGAAGGTCGAATTGGCAGGGTCCCCATGTCACCACGTCGGCACATCCCTCACACGTTTCGTGGCCCCACAGGGAGCTCCACCGAAGGCCCTAATGGGAGGGTCCGCATGCCACCACCGCACCCACGTCGGCACACCCGTCATACGCTTCACAGCCCCACAGGGAGCTCCACCGAAGGCCCCAGTGGAATGGTCAGCATGCCACCACCGCACCCATTGCGGCACGCTCCTCACACGCTTCGTGGCCACATAGGGAGCTGCACTGACGGCCCCGGTGAGCGGGTCCGCCTGCCACCGCCGCACCCATTTCGGCACACCCCTCACACGCTTCGTGGCCCCACAGGGAGCCCCACCGAAGGCCCCAGTGAGAAGGTCCGCAGGCCACCACCGCACCCATTTCGGCACACCCCTCACACGCTTCGTGGCCCCACAGGGAGCCCCACCGAAGGCCCCAGTGGGAAGTTCCGCATGCCACCACCGCACCCATTTCGGCACACCCCTCACACATGTCGTGGCCCCATAGGGAGCCCCACCAAAGGCACCAGTGGGAAGGTCCGCATGCCACCATCGCACCTATTCCGGCACACCCCTCACACAGTGGGTGGCTCAATAGGGAGCTACGCCGTAGGCCCCAGTGGAAGGGTCCGCATGCCACCACAGCACGCATGTCGGCACACCCCTCTCGCACGTTGCGTGGGCCCATCTGGAACTCCACCGAAGGCCCCGACGGTAGGGTCCGCATGGCGCACCCGCACCCGAGTCGGCACACCCCTCACACGTTTCGTGGCCCCATCGGGAAACCCACCGAAGTCCCCAATGGGAAAAGTCGCATGGCGGCGCCGCGCACATGTCGGCACACCGCTGATACGCTTCGTGGCCCCATAGGGAGCACAACCGAAGGCACCAGTGGGAAGTTCGTATAGCGGCGCCGCACAGAGCCTCGGCACACCCCTCATAGGTAACGTGGCCCCGCAGGGAGTTCCCACTCCTTTGTCTCACCTGCTTTGCGATACTCAGGCCTGCATATCCTTGGGCCCTGCACCAGAGAAGTCTTTGCTCCTGCACGGACGGGAAGAAACGGCTCTGGAACAGATCCGCCCATTCTGGCTGGCCAGGGGTCTGCCGACTCCCGTCCGACTGGCCGCCCTTCCGAGGCACACGCCTGGAGAAGGAAGCACCTGCGGGGCTCGCGCAGCGCAGAGAGCGCCAAAATCAGGCGGGCAGGGGGAGCAACCGCGCCTGCTTGCAAGCCACGGGCAGCCCTCCTGTCTCCGACGGCCCTCGGGCGGAGTCCAAGGGTACATGCAGCCCCGTCCCCTCCCTGTCCTGTACTCTCCTCTCGAATACTCTCCTTCCTCCCCTCCCCTCTCGAGCCACGGCGGCCATGGCCGCTGTCGCCGCCGTGTTAGGATCGGCAATTCGACTAAAAATTTGGAAGCACGTCCAGACGGAGAGAGAGAGAGAGAGAGAGAGCGTAAAGGCGCGTTCACAGCCCCCTCCTCGAGGAACGCATGCACCGTGCTTGCTGGGTGCTTGACTCTGCATCAAGAGGGCTTGCAAACGGCATGGAACTACCAGGAGCGCCGCACGCATCGATATCGCCATCCTCGGCACTCCTTACCCACTGCAGGCCAGCTGAAATCAAGCTCGCCATGTTTTGCACGTTCTGCTCCACACGTCTGAACATAAGACTGTCAGGCGGAGCCGTATGCCGATCGTCACCCTCTATGTTCTAGAACCGTCCATCTGGTCAACATGTTTACATCACCGCCAGTGTATTTCAAGAATTCGCTTGGGAGAGCCCTGATCGTGTGCTGCTGGACTGGGCGCGAAAGATGCGAAGGATGGGTGGATGAGGTGTCCGACGCCACCTGCAAGCTGCCGTGCTGTGCCCCGCCCGCAGCACCACCCCCGCGCAGGCACGAACCTTGCACTCCGACATCGCCGCGCACACCCGCGCAGCGTGCCGGACATCTCGAGACCAGCTCCCCCGTAGAGCAGGGCGAGGTGCCCACCTGGCTGGCGGGCTCCGCCGGCGTGGAGGGGGCAGTGGGCGTCGAGCGCGGGCGTGGGAAGCAAGAAGACGAGGAGGGGGAGGGAAGCCCAGCCCCCATGGCCTGCCCAAGAGACAGGGGGAGCACAGACTCTTCTGCACGCCGACGACCAGCGAGGCTAGGGAGGAAGGCGAGGAGGGGCTGGGAAGAGGAAAGGGCGGAGGAGAGGCAGGGAGAACCATGGGAGAAGGCAGCACATCCATCTTCTCCCCATCACTGCAGACAGAGCGCACGGCCTGAGCCAGTCCAGGCCCAGGCCTGGTCCGCCCCCGACTGCAGCGAAGGCTGTCAGCATCAGCCAGTGAGAGGCAAGAAAGACGACGAGATCGAGGACGACAACGACGGCAACGACGGCGCCTGCCGCCCAAAGCCAGTCACTGAGATCAGTCCCTGGACCAGTCACTGGACACCATCCTGACCAGTGTTTCCAGCTGCGTCAGGTCATGGCCACTAGGTCCCGACAGAAGGTCCCCCAAAACAACAAAACAAAAAAAACAAAAAGCAAAAAACGACGACGACGACGACGACGACGACGACGACGACGACGACAACGACGACGACGACGACGACGGCGGCGGCGACGACGACGACGACGGCGGCGGCGACGACGACGACGACGACGACGATGCCGACGACGACGATGCCGACGGCGACGGCGACGACGACGCCGACGGCGACGACGACGACGACGACGATGCCGCAGATGGTGCCGACAACAACGATGCCGCCGCCGCCGCCAACGACGACGGCGACGACTACGACGACGACGACGATCTAGACCTAGACCTAGACCTAGACCTAGAACTGGACCTAGACCTCGACCTAGACCTCGACCTAGACCTAGACCTAAGCCTAGACCTAGACCTAGACCTAGACCTAGACAAGACCCTAGCCCTAGACCTAGACCAAGACCTAGACATAGACCTAGATCTAGACATAGATCTAGACATACACAATCGACGTCAAATGTGTTTTCGTGACAGGGGGCCCTAGACCTTTGGACCACACCCCAGGGACAAATTTCTCTCATCGAGACAGTTTCTCAGCGGCCCCGTGGGCCTCAAACACACATTTAAATCGAGTGAAGAATAGCGCCGTCACACGGATTTATACCGTGAGCCCAAGATTTGAAGACGCCGGAAGCCTCCAGAGGTCCCCGGAGGTCCCCGGAGGTCCCCTGGAGGTCCTCCGAGGCCTCTTCTGCTACCCGCACGAGCGAGCCTAGGCAAGAGCGACCTTCTGGTGCGAAGCTTTGAAGGGCCGCGGGGGCTAAATCTAAGCGTGCAGGCCAATGCTGGGGGAACCCCTGTGGGCCCGCACCAATAGTCACTATGGCGAGTACCCTTGCGCACAGCCGACATCTGGGGGCTCCCAGACGTCCCCAGAGGCCCAAGAGACGCCAGAAGCGGTCAGAACCATCGAACCTCGACCCTCGACCCTCGACTTTGAACTCGCCCAGGGGTCTGCGGTGGATGGGCCCCGAGAAAGTCAGTGAAGAGGTTGCGGCGAGGGCACATCCGCTCAAAGTCTGTCCCTGGACCCTTCCTGTGGTCGAAGCTGCCCTGAGTTTCGAGCCGCGCCCAGACGTGGCGACGAGGGCCCGTCACACCCCCCTCTCTGCGGCCGAGAATAATCAGTGCTGGTCCCTGGGAACGCCGCGCCTGCCAGCGCCTGGGTGCGCCTGGGAGCGCCTGGGAGCGCTTCGGAGCGCCTGGGAACAGGGGGGCGCTGGGTCGACCGTCGAGCCTCGACCCTCGAGCCTGGACCCCCGAGGCCGACGGCAGCGAGCGGGCAGCGGCAACGCGCGCGAGCCGGGGCGGCGACGCCCGAGCATAGGGGCCTCGAGCGGGCCCGGCCGCGCCAGCGCGCGCAGGGGCCCCCAGGCTGGGTGGGTGGTGGAACGGTCGGGCAATGCCACGAAGGGTCGCCACCGTGACATCTTCTCGGTGCGAGCAAGTCACGACCGAAGATGTTGATCACTTTCGGCCTCCAGGGTCCCTCGCCCAGCCCCCAGGCCGTGAGAAAGCGACTCGGGACGAAAAGCCAGTCCCGTGGAAGGGATTCAGACCTGCGGGGAGCACGGTGCGAAAACATCACGACGTCGCGCGTCTGGGCAGAGGGGTCACAACCTCCTCCTGGAGATCGAGGATCGAGCAGTATGAAGGGGCCCAAGGACACACAAATAAATACACACAAATACCAGGATTCCCCATATTTTCCCAGATGTTCTGGGTTTTGTCTTCCCCCCCACACTTCCCATATTTCTTGGAATCGACGATTAATTGTGTCTGTGTGTATGCTCCCTCCTGACAGGAAGGAGGTCGCCACCTCCTCCCCTGGGGGCCAAAGGGGGGCCCCGTTGCCTCTGGAGGAGGTGGCGACCCCCCTTGGTGGTGGCCACCCCCCTTGGCACCGCCTGGAACGGGGGGGGGGGCCGGGCAGCAGCTGGCTGACGGGGGGCGGGCAACAAGGGGAGAAAGGAAAGGGGGGGAAGGGGAGGGGGGAAGGGGGGAAAGGGGAAGGGAGGGGAGGGGGGGGGGAAGGGGGGGGAAGGGGAGGGGGGAGGGGGGAAAGGGAAGGGAGGGGGGGGGGGAAGGGGGGGAAGGGAAGGGGGGGGGGAAGGGGGGCAAAAGACGGCACGCGCGCAAAGGTTCGGAAGTCCGCGCGGATCCCTCGGATGGGCGCTGGGACCCCCTGGCGGCGCTTCCGGCGCCCGCCCCTGGCGCGCTCCATGCGCCAGGGAGGCAGGCCGAGCGCCGAGCCAAGGAAGCCGCGCGGACCTCCGAAGCTTCAGGCGTACTACCCCGACCCCAGACGTCATAGTGTTTGTCACAGAGTCGACGCTGGAGGTCTTGACCCATTTCCTGGAACGGGCTATTCATCCTGAGTCGTTCTTGAAGGTCCCCTGGCCCGGTCTGGGCATCCGGCATCTCGTACCGGGTCTGGATATCCGGCTTTCTCCTTCCCCAGAAGGTACACGAAGAGGGCCAGGGCCAGGGCCAGAAGGCACGAGCAGCAGCAGGGCGCAGAGAGGCAGCGAGAGCCGCGGCGGTGCTGGCGCGCGCCGGCGCCGCGCGGGGCCCAGGCCGAGGGAGCGGTGGACGGGCGCAGGTGCCCGGCGGCGGCTGGCTGACGGAAGGCGGGGGGGAGCCCAGGACTCCCCACGCTGTGCACGAGAAGCAAGGCAGAGCAACAAGAAAACGCATGGGTCTCGGGCCGTGTGCGTCGTCCAGGGCCCTTGCTGCCCCCCCCTCCCCCGGGAGTCGTCGAAGACACGGACGGCTCGGGATGAGCGGCCCGGCCCCAGAGGGGCCAACGCTGCGAACAAGAGTCACGACGCCGGGGGTCTGGGAGGAACCCTTTTGTGTTTTCCTGCCCTCTTCAGCAGCAACGAGTGCCTCCAACCTCACTGACTGCATATCACCACAGCATGGCTGCGCCGCAGCGTGAGACGGAGTAACGAGAGGCGGCAGTCAACTCGCCCACGCTCGTGTCCGTGCCCGGGGTTCTGGGAGGGGACGGGGGGGGGGCGCAGTCAACGTGGCGTCGATTTGGGCAGGTGCTCGGGCGCCCCTGGAGGCCCTCGTCGCCACGGCGGCACGCGACCCGCAAAAGCTGGGCAGGCCGAGCTCGTCGTGGAACGCTCGGGCAGTGCTGCCAAGGGAGGTGACTAGCAGGCGGGTCTCCACCTCCTCCTGGAAATCGAGGATGGAGCAGGAGGGAGGATCGACAATAGACGAGGTTTGGGGGGAGTTCTTGGACGTCTTTGGGAGCCTGCGGGGGATCCTGAAAGTCACTAGCAGGCGGGTCTCCACCGCCTCGTGGAAATCGAGGATGGAGCAGGAGGGAGGATCGACAATCGACGAGGTTTTGGGGGGCGTTCTTGGACGTCTCTGGGAGCCTGCGGGGTTCTGGAGGGACTCCAGGGGACCCCGTTTCCTGGTGGTGGTGGCGGCCCCCTTGGTGGTGGCACCCCCTGGAATTGCCAGCAACGGGGTGGGCGGCGGCGGCGGCCGTCAACAATAACAGGGATGACCTCATCCACGAGCCCTGCTGATCGCGCACGGCAGCAAGGCTGCGCTGCAGCGTGTGCGGATCGGAATACGACGACCGCCGAGTCGCCGAACGCACGGGCGTGCGCACAACATTCGACAGCAAGCTGGGGAACGAGGAGGCGCCGGGGGGTGACTGGAAGGCCAGGAGGCGGGAAGGGTTGTCGTCATCGTCAGCGTGGTTGGTTCGAGGGCTTTTGGGCGTGTCTGAAGGCTTTCGTCGCCACGGCTGGACCAGCTCTAGAAAATAGGCTGGATGGACCCTGGGAGGTGTCTGGAAACCCGACCGCCGACCCTTTCGGCGTGTGAGGGGCTTCCCCGTTCGAGTCGGGCTTCTTCGTTCGAGTCGTCGTCTCCGTCGTCCTCCGTTCCGTTTCTCTGGGCCCTCCTCCTCAACCGCGCCACCCAAGCGAAATTGAGCAACGTCGGTGGAGTCGAAAGGAAGCCCCGTTCCTTCGATCCCTTCCCCGCGGGGGAGGGGGTCCCGGAGGGGTACCGGGGGGGGTCCCCACCCAGATACGCTTCCCCCCCGCGCGGTCCCGGACCCGAAGAAGTCCCCAAGAGTTCTCCACGAGACCCCAAGAGGCCGCCGGCGCCCCAAGAGTCTCCAACAGGGTGCCCTGACGGGGAAGGTGAACGGACATCTCGAGCCCTTGGCCCCGAGAGCACCCCAGGAGGCCCCAAGAGGCCCCAGAAGGCCCCCACGAAGCCCCAAGAGGCTGCCAAGAGGCCCCCAATATGCTCCCAAGAGGCCCCAACAATGCCCCCCAGAGGCCTCCGCGAGCGTTCCGAAGAGACCCCAAGCAGCATCCCTGAGGACTCTGACCCACGTCAGCGTCGTCGTCGTCGCCGCCGCCGCCGTCGCCGTCGTCGTCCTCGTCGCCGCCGCCGCCGTCGTCGTTGTCCCCCTTCACGGGCGGCGGGACCGGCCGTAAGGCTGATAGACTGGATGGACCCCGGGAGATGTCTGGAAACCCGATTTGACAGAGCTTGCGTCCGCCAAGGATGAGGAGGAGACCCGGGAAGAGACTCGAAGATCGAGGCTCGAGCATCGAGGTTTTCGAGCATTCGGAAGCCCTTGTGGGTTCTCTGAAAGGCTCCTCCTCGCCAAGGCTGGACCCGCCTCGGCTCTTCTGCACGACCACAAGATCGGCCCAAAAACGGTCGCAAAGCTCACTCCTCCCATCTTCCACAGGGTCCGCGGGGAAACAGGTCCTTGACCCCAGGGCCTTCCCCCTGGAACAGCTCTTCCTCGTCACAAAGCTCACTCCTCCTGCCTTCCGCAGGGTCCTTGGCGAAACGGATCCTTGACCCCGGGGCTGCCCCCCTGCAGCGGCTGCTCATCCCGAAGCGCTGTTCGTGGACGGCCCTGGGGCCCGAGATGGGCCCCCGGAGGCCGGAAGCGGCAGACGGATGGGAGAAGAAATCTCCCCCCCAGACATGGTCGCGTCGTGTAAAAAACAGGACGTCGCATGTTTGGGTCGGTTTTGTCGGGCTATCGTTTTCTGGAGTCAGGCACGTAGAAGTTCCACGGTAGAACCCTGAGATCCTGGCGACTCCATTTTTTCGAGTCCGGCGTACTTTCGCTCCATCTCGGGCCCCGGGGCCCTCGCAGATCGATCCGGGTCGAAGGATGACGCAGAAAGATAGGGTCCGGGGGCCCGGTCGTGATTTCATGCGATGTTGCACTTATTTTGCAACGTTGGATCTCAGAGAGAGGGGTCCTGCGCCCAGACATGCGACGTCCTGTTCCAGGGGGAAGGCCCTGATTTTTTAACGACGCGATCATGTCTGGGGACGTCTCGCTTTTGCTCCCGCCGCCTTCCGCCGGCGGAGCCGCCGCCGTCTCAATTCGGCTGGCCTCCCGCCAGCGACGTTCTTCTCCTCCTCCTCCTCCTCCTCCTCCTCCTCCTTCTCCTCCTCCTCCTCCTCCTCCTCCTCCTCCTCCTCGGCCTCCTGCTCCCATTCCGCCTCCGCCTCTGCCTCCGCCTCCGCCTCTGCCTCCGCCTCCGCCTCCTCATCGTCCTCGAGCGGCGATCCTTTCTTCAAGGTCCTCCAATCGGGGACTATCTGATAAACCAAGACATTGGCACGCCCGAGAAAACTGCAGCCGTGATCCGAAACATCTTCCGTTGTTTCGCTTCCTCCAGATGGAACTTTCAAACTGGTTTGCAATGTCTAGGAAAGCGGCTTCTGCGTACGCCTCACTGGTGCAATTTGTTTTACACCGCAAGCAGCGCGCGCGATGTGTTAACGCCCTCTGTCCGCTCTAGCGCCGAGGCTGACTGGCAGGGCGGCGCCACCCGGGCGGACAAATCGTGCCCCCCCTTATGAGAACAAGAGAATTACTGGTGCAAGCTATCGCGTCCGGCGCGAAGCCGCCTGGAGAGAAGTAATGAGTTTCCCCTCCCTGCGCCGGCCGCAGGCCAGAGGAGTCAAAGGGCAGGAGGAGGAGGAAGAGGAGGAGGAAGAGGAGGAGCCGAGAACGGACAGTGGCGGTGTGTGTGTGTGCACCAAACCCCTTGATGGTCCCCGCGACCACTTATATAATGAGGCTACACACGACGACTCGATATAGGATGACGCACAGTGCCCTCGCAGTAAGAGCCCATGCGGCGAAGTGGCAGATGGAAAACATCCCCAATCCTAACAAGACGGGGGCGGGAGCGGGAAGGGTAGGGAACGCCTGTGGGTGAAAGCGGTCGGGTGCAGACACTCGGCACATAAAACAAAACATCCGAAAGATGGCGCACGGACGCTCAAGCGCCCAGCACCGCGCGTGGAAACCATGACGATGACGGCGTCGGGGCGAGCCTGGCGTGAGGCCATAGGCCAGGGTCAACCAGGAGGCCAGAGGCCAGGGTCAAGAGTGTGATCCCCCCTCTTTTCCAGAAGCGGGAACCCCCCCCACCCTCCCAGGCGAGAATCCCCCCCTGCCCACAACGCACACACCCGCACCCATGACTTCCCCCCAGCATGCTAGAAGACGCTCGTTCCAGTGTCGTGGTGCTGGGGCCCAGGGTCCCGAAACCCCCTCTGAGATTCGACGTCACGACAAGATCACATCCTCGTACAGAACTTGACTGGAGCCCTGAACCCCACCTTTCTGCGGCACCTTTCGAGCCGGATCGAGGGCCCTGGAGCCCAGAACAGAACAAGATCGCCCGCTGTGAGAAAACTGCGACGCCAGGATCATCTCGGGGCCCCACCTCCCCCTGCCCGACCCCCCAGCGGGCGGGGGCACGGCCGCACGCGCGCGCGCGCGCGAGCACGCGCGCCCCGGCCTCGACGTTCAGCGCCGCGACCATCTCGCTCATGCTCTCCTGCGCAGGCAGGAGACTGGGCGCACGCCGCCTTGGGTAACGGATCCGTGGCGCTGGCGCGTCCCTGTTTTGAGGCCGGTCCCCATGTCCATGTCTGCGCTTCCTCCCTGGGCGGCGAGCCCAGGAGGGAAACGAGAAGGGGCAGGCATTCTCAGAAGGCGGCGGAGCTTCCCAGAAGCTCTCGAGCCTTCCGAAAAGCTTTCTGAGCCCTCCCTCAAGACGGAGGTGGCTTCTGAGAAGGCCCGAGGCTCCCGAGAAGACCCGCCGCCTTCTGAGAAGGCCTGCGCCCTCTCTCTCCCTTCCCCCCGAGGCAGGACGAGGACAAAACCAGATGAGGATAGATCGAGAATCTCTGAAATCCCGCAGCTCTGGAGGATGCCTCGGGCGCCGCGGCTTTCTCACAGAGGCGCTCCGGAACGCCCTGAGAACGTTCCGGAACGCTCTAGAACGGATTTCATCCTCGCCCTCTAGCCCCGTCCGAATTCTCCTGGATATCCATGGGAGGCTGGGGCGGAAGCCGGCTTCCGCCACGTGCTGGACGCACTCCGAGCCCCACTCACCCCACCGCCCCTCGGGCTGCCTGCACCGCGGATCGGCCAGGGCTCGGATTTCGCCGCCGCGCCTCGAACAAATTACCCTGTGACGTGCCCAGCTCTTGCTATACATGTGGCGATTGTACTCAGGACCCCGCAATGCTGACTGGCATTCTGAAGGACCCGCAGTGCGCAGGAAGAGGAGGGGGGAACGCAGGAGACAGGCGAGGAGGAGGGGAGGATGGGGGGGAGGAGAAGGAGGAGGCCGGGGCGACCACACTGCTCCATCCAGAACGGGTGCCCGGCCACAGGGAGGGCCGGGAGAACAGAAAGCGAGGAGGCGCGCGCGCGCCCCTCGGGCGCCGAGGGGGCTCCGCCCCGCGCACCGCACCCGTGCCGCCGAGCGCGCCCTCTCCGCGCCTCGGCCCTCCGGCCCTCCTCGCCGGGCGGCGGCGCCCTCGGGCTCCCCCGGGGCCCCCCACGGCCTCCCCACGGCCCTCGGGCCACCCACCCTGCGGAGGTCTGCTCCGCCCAGGCGTCCCAGGACAGCCCCCCCGGGGCCGCGGACCTCCTTCTCTTCGTCGTGGCTCGTGCTTCGGCGTGGTTCGTCCCCCTCGGCCCCTCCCCTGCGCCTGAGCCCCCGCTCCCCTGGACCACCCCCCCTTGGGACCCCCCCTCGGTCCAGGCTTCCCAGGGCAACCCCCCCCCCCCCCGGCAGCAGACACCGGCCCCGGAGGTCCCGGCGACCCAACTCTTCTCGAGCATGGGCGCTGTCGCTCGATTTCGGGCCTCGGGAGCCTCAGAAAAGGGAAGAAGAGAGATGGGGCACGGGGGGTCCGGTTGTGGTTTTCTGCGCCGTCGTATTTTTCGCGCGACGTCGGATCTCAGGGGCACCCCTCACAAGCGGCGAGCATATCCGTACCCGCGCCCTCGTGGTCTGGATTCCGGGGCGCGGTCCAGCAGATATGCGGTTGCACGAGTACGTTCCGCGTGAGACATTCGCGAAAAAAACGCCCCGTATCCGCGGGGTCGCGGCCCGGGGACCCAGCCCGCAAGGCCGCAGATACGGATATGTTTCTCGCCCGCGACGTTCCTGGACGGGGCGGGCCATCTTAGGAGGCAACTCCTGAGAGGCCTCTGCAAGAACGGCTTAGGGCTATTAGGCCAAATGAGAAGAAGGCCACTCGGCTGGATTGGGCCAGATCAAGCCCAGGATTGAACCGAATTAAGCCGGGTTTGGCGGGATTCAAGCGGATTAATCGAGACCTTTGCCGGATTAGGCGGGTTTCTGACAACGGAAACACTAGCGCCGATGCTGAGACTAACCTCTCAGGAGTTGCATCCCAAACTATCGTGCCTCTATCGCCGATTCATGGGCGACTGGGGGTCGATGCGTTCCCCCCTGAGCCTATCACCCCCCTTAATATTGCCCCTGAAACTTGTGCGGCATATTCACGGGACCTTGTCTGTCCCGCAGCAGCGGAGGACCCGGCGAGCGCGACAGAGGACTGGCGAGGCGGGCCCCAGGCTCCCTGGACGGAAGGCTCCCCGCGCCCACGGGGGGACAAAGCTCCCCCATGCTCAGCCGAGATGCCGGCACAGCCACGTGTTCGCAACGGACGATTTTTTGCCCTGCTCCGAGCCCATGGGACCCTCACGGATCGATGCGGCTCGAAAAGTGCCGCCGACACATGGGGCCCCGGTCGAGTGTTCCCTCGGCGTGGAAGCGTTTCGCAACGTCGGATCTCGGGGTCACATCGAGCGGCCATGAGCGGGGACTCATCTCCTGCGCCGCCATCCCCTCAGAACGCGGGGCGCTCGGGGGCCGTGGCAAGAGAGCACACGGCGGAGGCGCTCTTGCCGTCCGCCTCTCCCCGGCCGGACGACGCGTCCCTTCCAACGCAGACACACCACCAGCAGCTGGCTGCCTTGCGCAGGTCTCGAACATGCCGTGGCCAACCCAGGCACCCGGCCGCTCCAATCATTTCGATGCGTGGGCCCCCGAGGCCCGGACCACCTTCCCAGGGCCAGCTGTTCGTCCTGAATCGTTGGTCGACGGCCCCAGGGCCCAGCAAGGGCCCGAGGCCAAGAGCGGCCAAAAACCGGCCGCTCCAATATTTTCGAAGCGAGGGATCTCTCGCAAACGTCCGCCGCCAAGCCATTGCCCACGAGCAGACGAGTAGGCAAGCGCGTTCCACTACTCGCAAAGTAACTACTCGCAAATGGCCTGGATCCGCCGCAAGGGACTCACGACCCACTACACAGAGGAAGAACTGTGCTTTTCGGGCGTCTGCGAGTGGGCACTTTTGCAAGTAAAGTAGCGGAACGCGCTCGGTGAACGAGCATCGCAGGATCTGCTTCCCCAAGCCTTTGGAGGAGTCGCAGGCCAGAAGCCCCGTCGCATCTTTCTGGGACTCCGGGGAGGGGCTGCTCCCGGCCCCGGGCCACCCGGGGGCCGCCAGAACGAGGGCGTCGTTTCGGCCCAGACCCAGGCAGGCTCGCTCGCACGGCACCTTTCCCTGCAGCCGACGCTCAGTATGAGGACGCACGCTGAGGATGCCAGGGCCTTGGAAGGCCATCCCGTCTGGGCGCCGTCTTCGCCTCTCCCTCCTCCTCCTCCTCCTCCTCCTCCTCCTCCTCCTCCTCCTCCTCCTCCTCCTCCTCCTCCTCCTCCTCCTCCTCCTTCCCCCAGTCAATCCAGGAGATCCAGGAGGTCCAGGAGATCCTGTCAACCCGTATAAGAAGGATGCAAGATGAGGGTGCAAGGGCCTCGGAAGGCCCTGTCGACACCTTTCGAGCGGGGCGCGGCCAGCGAAAGCGGCCAAGCATGGGCCGAAGGGGAAGGATGCGGGGGTAGCCTGAGGAAGTCACTCGTCCTCACGATCCGAATTCACTGTGCCCTCCCCCCGCCGCCGCTGCAAACATCCCTGGGCCGAAAAGACGTGCAGGTAGGTCCCGACTGCTCCTTTCGGGCCTCGCCACACTCGGGGATGCACAGAACCTCCTTTAGTAAAACGTGGTTTAGTGAAAACGACCTCGGGCCCAAACCTGGCGGGCGCAAGCCTGGAAAATGACTGCCGCGGCGCCCTCTCGAGAACCGAAAACGGACAATTCACTGGTCGACGTGTCAGGGTGGGAGCTCTGTCCACCCCCGACGCACCCACCCCCCCTTCCATGCAAGCAAACTCGCTGGAGCCCAAAGGAAAAAAAAAAAAAAAAAAAAAAAAAAAAAAAAACACGGCCCAAACCGACTCTCGGGAGTAGGCTCGGCTGCGGGGAGCGACGGCGCCCCGAGCTCCCTGATCGGCAGCCCGAGGCCCTGGAGCCCTCGGAGCTCTGGGCGTGGGGCCCCAGGGCCCTCACAGATCGACCTGGCAGGCCTGAGCTGGACCGAGCCGCGAAACTGGATCGGAGAGGAGGAGGAGGAGGAGGAGGAGGAGGAGGAGGAGGAGGAGGAGGAGAAGGACCGAACAGAAAGGATCGCACCGCGCCCGAATCGGCGCGGAGTCGGATCGGGGTCGGCACGCTCGGGGGATCGCGGATCGGGCTCCGCCCCTGCAGACCGGAGAGGGGATCGCTCTGGCATCGACGCTCGGAGATCGGCTTGGATCGAACTGGAGCGTGAGCGGCCCTGCTCGGCTCGGATCATGACGGGGTCGGGATCTCCAGACGTGACATGTCAGGGGGTCGTGACTTCTTGCCTGAACGAAGCTCGGCCTCGGGGGAAAGCGGCCCAGTCGATCGCCAACCCTGGACGCCAGGACACCAGCGCCTCTGGGTGCGCCGACGCATCGCCGATTTTCGTGGCAAGGCCGAGAAACGCCAGAGCAGAAGGGCACCGCCTCAAACAGGATGAGGGTAACGAGATGGTGCCTCTTTTTCTTCCTCCTCCTCCTCCTCCTCCTCCTCATCCTCCTCCTCCTCCTCCCCCCTCCTTTTCCTCCTGGTCCTCCTTCTCCTCCCTGTTCCCGAAGTTCCCAGATGTCTCGGAAGCAAAGAACCAACAATCCTCAAATAGAACGAAAGATACAATACAATACAATACTGTTCCTCCTCCTTTTCCCCCTCCTCCTTCTCCTCCTCATCTCCACCCTCTCCCTCTCCCTCTTCAATCTTCGATCCTCCCTGCCCCCGTTGCTGTTTCTTTTTACTCGTCCCCACTCCCTCCCCTTCCCCAAACTCCTCTTCTTCCTCCTCCTCCTCCTCCTCCTCCTCCTCCTCTACCTACTACTACTACTACTACTACTACTACTAGTACTACTAGTACTACTACTACTACTACTACTACTACTACTACTACTACTACTACTACTACTACTACTACTACTACTACTACTACTACTACTACTACTACTACTACTACTACTACTACTACTACTACTACTACTACTACTACTACTACTACTACTACTACTACTACTACTACTACTACTACTACTACTACTACTACTACTACTACTACTACTACTACTACTACTACTACTACTACTACTACTAC